ACACTGGCATAGATGAAACCCTTAAAGACCTCCTGCACTCTTGTTATTCAACTGGCAAAGCATGCAGCTAGGACAGCTTTTTCCTCGCAGTTCTGCAAAGCCAAGGTTTGTCTTCTCAGGTGAATCTTTTAGAAGCCAAATTTTGATAAATTTCAAAAAGAGGCAGGATTGTGTGCCTTGGTACATTTGCAAAGGTATTTTCTCTAGGGGAGTCCAGAGCTTAAACAGTGATGAGATTGGGCAGTGTTTTTTAATTTAATATATTTTTAAAATCCAGATGCCACCCTTCAAAATAATATTTTCTAAGTGTGGCTTGCAATACCTTAAAATCAATATTTTTTTTAAAAAAAGGTAAAAAAAAACCAAGATAAGTTTAAGAACTATGTTTCACAGAATTTAAATTATTCATATATAAAAGGGAAAAATAAAAACTGCTTTACTACATAGTTTGTACCAAACTTGTAGAATGTTTTCAAGGTGTACAATATCAGTTTAAAAAAAAAAAAGAACTTGAGATAAAAAATCTAGAAGGGTGTCTGCAGCATTCAAGTGAGGACCATAGTTGGCTTTTGGGTAGTAGACCCTTATTCAAGGTGACATACTGTTAACAAGTATATGAAACCAAGATGAAAACTGTTTTAATATTAAATTCCTGTATTATAAAATGATGTTACTTTCCCCCTTACATTAAATGATATCCTTCTTTTAATACACTCTGAACTGAAATCTGATGGCAACCTGGGGGCCACATCCAAGGGTTTTGGGGCCACCTATAGCCTTGGGCTACTTCTAGTCTAAAAAATCAATCATGACCTCAATTGTGAGTTGAAAGTTAAGCTTCCAGACAAAATACTATAGCACCCACTTCAGAATATAGAAAGTGCCTTATGCTGATCAATCTGTCTGGTCTGGTAGACCTGACTGACTTTGTTGACCCTGACTGATAATGGATCTGCTAAGTTTCAAAGATTCAGACAAGGCTCTTCCCAGGAAATTCTAGGACTGGATCTGGACTTTGTACATTCAAAGCACACATCTATCACTCAGACACAACTGTTTCCTTAAACTATACTAGAATTGCAAGTTATTTCCACTGTAAAGGACATGCTGAAAGTCATTCTCTGCACCATCTGCTCAGGCTTCCACTTACACCTTCCGATCATTTAGCAGCATTCCATTCATTGTATCAATTGCTCTGTTTGCTGCCTCATGAGTCTCAAAATGGACAAAGCCATAACCCCTAGATCCATTCTCATCACAAACAACCTGTTAAGACATTGAAGAACAAGGTGAGAGAAAGAAAATGAGGAAAGTCAAAACTTGGAACTGACAGCCAGTCCATTGCTTGCCCTTTATATTCCCAATCTCTGTTATAGGACCCAAGTATTATAGCTATCACCTCCATTTCTCTGACTTAACCTGAAGCCATCTCAGAATGTTGGCTTGAAGTCCCATACACTCCAAGTAGTCTGGCCTGTTCATGCTGGATGGAGATTATGGACATTGAAGGCTACCATATTTGGAGGGGCATCAGTTTATAGACAACTGTTCCAGGGAGAAGAAGAAACAATATAATCTTGAATCTAAAATAAATCTTGCAACTCAAGATTCTGTGTCCCTCAGAATCAGCTGCTTTTCTGGGGCTGTTGTAGTAATTTTGACAGCCAAGAAACCATCATCTCTTGTCCCACCCTGAAAAGATGCTGGGAGAAAGTGGGGAAATAATCTAGATGCTTTGCTCAAGGGCAAAATAATTGGAAGTCTCGTTCAATTGGAAGCCTCGTTCAACTGGAAGCCACTAAATACTAATAGATACTGGAGCCTGAACTTTGATAAGACTTGAATACATTTTAAACTTCAGGACAAAAATGCAATATCACACACACACAAAAATGATAGAACCACATTTCATGATATCTGAAAAGGTTGCACCTACTTTGCAAGAAAGAATATTTCCAAAAGCCGAGAATGTATCATATAAGGCTTTGTTATCAATGGAATCATCCAGATTTTTGATGAAGATGTTCCCAACACCTGATTTCCTGAGTCCTGGATCTCGCTGAGACCACATGATACGAATGGGCCGACCTTTTATGACTTCAAAATTCATGGTGTCCAAGGCCCGTTCAGCTTGAAGAGGAAAAAATAAAAGCACATTCATTTACCAACAGGCCAAGCAGGCCTGGGAAAGACAAATTGTGATGCACCTAATATCTAACTTTTCAAATAGCTCAGCATTACCAACATAGATGATCTCCAAGACTTGAACATAAGAGATGGGATAGGGGTTTAAGAAATCAGTGGCTTCTGGAAAATATTCCTAAAAATTCTAAGCTTAAATAATTGCCACTGGGAATGTCATGCCTACTTCATCCATCTTTATATTACCTGGTTTTCATGAGTTGTTTGCAGGTGAAATCCTAAATTTAGAATGGAGGATCAAAATGAAAACTGCAGCACAGAACTGATAACATGTGGTATCTCCTATCAGTTGCATTTTTCTTTAGCAAAACTAAATCATTTTTTTTCTGATGAAAAGCTTAAAGAGTTTGAACATTTGATGGGTCAGGCATTATTTTACTGGGAAACAAGGGCAGTGTCAGAAACCACAAATTTAGAGGGAGGTTGACAAATTCAATTTATGTTCATTAACATTTACAAGCTGATCCATTGTTGGTGTTTGAAAAAATAAAATCCATAAGCACAACTTTGTGCATTGAAAAATTACATTTGCAATTGGCAGAATATGAATAGATGGGGTGGTCCTTGCTCCAGCATTTGCTTTCTGAAGACAATATGATTTTTATCATTTTTTAAAAATCAAAAGTGCTATTTTGGAAAGTTCTCCAATTTCTTCAGGTTGAAATACATCAACTAGTGACATCTAGGCTACTAACAGTAGCAGCACAGACTGTCATTAAGAGTTGGAGAAATGAAAAAGTCACATTTTAAAAAATGGATCAGTAAGTTTGACTGTTAATACAGTTATGAAAAATGAGAAAGACATAGACAGGAAAATCCAAATATTCATGAACCTCTTTTACTGAATACAGAATAAATTAACATGTAGCTATTGATAAATATTTGTGTCACTTTCTCTTATTAATCAAATTAAGTTCAATATCTTGATATAATGCATATATGAAATACTAGTTCAACGTTATTAGGCATTATTACATTTACTTGAAAAAGATATCACCCAGAATTTAATCACTCCTCCTTCACCACCTGAAAAAGGAAAATAAGACTGAAGAGGAAACCACATCCTCTCATTGCCTTCTTAGAAAATCTAAAGCTTTTAAAGATAAATTATTTGGAGAAAAATAGTCAAAGAAAATATATTTGAGTATATATTGCATTTGTGTATCAATATTATTAAAACAAAGAAGTTCTCACCATCAGCAGGCTGTTGAAAATTTATGTATGCATAACCTAGAGATCGTCGTGTGGCAACATCTCGACAAACTCTGATGGACATGATGGGTCCAGCAGGTGAGAACTTCTCATATAACATGGCTTCAGTCACATCTGGATGCAAGTCGCCCACATAGAGAGAAGCTAATGGATATCCTGGACCACTAGCATTCATGGCCAATCATCTAGTTTAACTTTGGAAGTGAAGCAGAACCTAGTTACTACTATGTTGCATAATGTGGACTTTTGAGACACAAAAACAACATGGGGTTGGAATAGCTATGACAGCCTCCATGTAACTTCTGACTGAGTCATTACCAGTGTCTGACAGCAGTGCAGTGAACAAACTCACATGGTATTGATGAAAAAATATTAAGACTGGACTACATTCCAATAACATATAATTGGAAGCAAAGTATGTACAGGTTCTATACACCCAAGACTACACAAGCTTGAATCCAATCCCATTTCCTTGTAGATTGCAATAAGACTAGGAGGGGGAGCAGTGGAACTCAACTCCCTATATCTAGAACACCAGAAATGAGAACTTACAGCTATCAACCCAAGATCCAAAGAGGCTGCACAAAGAATAAATGTGGCAGCTACCAAGGCCATTGGAATACTCAAAATAATCTGAAAATGAGTTGCAAAGACTTTTGCTTCCACCTCTACCATTTCCCTTTTAGTTCCTTCTTCTTTCAAATGTTATACATGGTTTCCTTTCTTCCATCTCCCAGGAAACTGAGGATTAGGGTTAAAGTTCACAGAAACCACCTTTGTTAATGCTATGAGACTGACTTCCATAGCTGGCATTATCTCATTTGCTGTTTGTCTAGTTTTCAAATTACTGAGAGCAGAACTCATGGGGTTTAGGCTATTTTACTTTAAGGAATTCTTTTGTTGTATTTTACACATTTATACAAGGTGACAAAGCTGGTGTCAGTTTTTAAAGGCTGATAAGACTCTTAATTGCAGTAGACCAGGGTTTCCCAGCCTCAGCAATGCTAAGATGTGTGGATTTCAACTCCCAAAATCCCCCAGCCAGCATGCTGGCTGAGGGATTCTGGGAGTTGAAGTCCACACATCTTAACATTGCTGAGGTTGAGAAACACTGCAATAGACAAATTTGATACTTCTTTGGAAACTATTTTATCTTCATAACTTCTTGGTGAGGTGTAACGGGCTGAGGTATTTCACTGAGCAATTATTCCAAGATTGCTAAACTAGAGTAACTATCTCAAGGTTGCTAATTTTTTATGGCCAAGCAATACTCAAAGCCAGGCCACACTATTCAAAGTCCAACACTACTCTCACAAGAGGTCATTTCTGAAATGATTTCATATTGGAGGAAGAAAGCAGAAGGTCTTAGAAACTGATTCACACACTTCCGCATATGCATATATGGGAGAAATAATATATGAAGCATCTTATATAAATTTTGACAGTAGACAGATTCATAAGTCAGAGACTCAGATGAAATTGCACTTTCTCTACAGGATATCTCAATCATAATCTCACACTTAATATTCTGAAAGGGGATGTTTAGCTACTTCCTCATATCATCTTCTCTCTAGGCTCCTTTTAAGTTTCCTCTCCTTAATACAAACAATTATTCTACTGCTTGTTCATTTGCAGAAAAAAAACCCCTTCATGATGTAGATAAAATCTACTCTTACATATCCTCCCTCATTCTTCTAAAGATGGAATAGTAAGACTCTTCAACTACAAACTCATAGTGTTAGTTCTTACTGATGAATTGTGTTTTCTGTATTTTTAAAAAGTACAGGGGTGATGAAGAGTTTTGAAGGGAAAGACTGGCTAGGGTACTAACGGTGTGCTTCTTTAGTTGCAAGATTCAGTGCAGTACCAGTTATTTCCTAATTATTCAAAACCACATCAAATGAGAGCTACAAATGTATCTAATCTTCCTAGGAAAATGATTTCTGGACATTGTAAAAAAAAGATTTTAAGTTAAAAAAACTCTCAAATGTATCAATAGATAAACTGTTTACATTACTAGTAATTCTTAAACATTGCTCCTTTACAATCCTCAATTGGTCAGGCTAGGTTGGGGCTGATAACAGAGGCCAAAACATATGGAGGAACCCAGGTTGTGGAAGGTAGCACAGATGTTTGATTTGAAGGCAAAACTATGTTTAAAATGGCCTGTATTTCTGGGTAATTAATTCAGAAGAAACTCAACAAAACAACTTTTTTTTAAAATGAAGACAGTTGTCTGTTTCAATCCTTATCTATACAATCATAATACCTCAGATTAGCCTTTCTCATTCTGGTACTCTCAATTTCCACAATACTCAGCCCATCATAACCAAAGGACTTGATAACAGACAATTCTGGGAACTGTAGTCTCAGCACAGCTGGAAGGTATGAGTTTGAAAAAGCCACCTCCAACCACATCTTTCCCATTATGGCTCAAAAAGACTGGGAAAAGAGGTAGCATAGCAGTTTTAATGTTTCTCCATTTAAAAGTGTTTCAATTTCAAAGACATGGAGGCTAGGTACTTTGCTCCTGGCATCACTACTTAAATTAAGAAAAGCACATACGATACATGTTTTCAGTAGATGAAAACACTTACCACAACCATTCTCCTACAAATATGCACATTTGCCAGATGACCGATGTTTACTTCTCCTTACCTTATTTTTCCAATAGAGCTCTATGTCCTCCCTGCCCCCACAACCTATCTTCACAACACCTCACTTAGCTTGAGTAATAGGGTGACTGAATCAAAGTCACACAGCTGGTTTGTGGGGCTGAGGGGAGACCTTAAGCAGCTGTGTGTGCACAACACACTGAACTACATATTAGCCAATCATATTTTAGCACAGCATGTTGTTTAAACCCAATCCATGTGGTTAGCTTATGGTTCTTGGGCTATGCGAACCCAGAAAATTAGGTTAGTTGAATAAACTATGGTTAAGTTAAACACAAGTAAGCATTTTATGCAAGCACAGCCACTGGCTGTGCTGCAAGCCATAAGAAACCAATCCATTGCAGGACAGGACTCCAACAGATTTGGGCTATTCAATACAATACACCTTTGAGTTAAATAACTACTGCAACAATTCACTTGCCTAGAGTACCTCTGTCCAATTTACCTCTGAAAATTAGTTCCCCCTTCCCAACAAAATGGGATTGCTCTTTCAGTAACTATGCTGGGGCTCAGATTTCTCCATCCACTCCCCCCCCCCTTCCATCACTCACTGACTCACTTATGGCTATGCAAAACCACCAGCAAAAGCTCGTGTTTAGCACAGGTGCTCTCTAATGTGGATGAGGTTCTCAGAATTCCATAGCCCCACCCCTTTCACTCACAGAGCAGCAGGTGTGACCGCCAGACAGTTCCGGTTCCCACCATTCTAACCATGCTGCTAGTCCCCTCCAGTGAATCGGACAGGAGTAGGCAAAAAGCTTGTTCTTCTCAGCAGCACGGAGATGAGAAAAACATTATAGCAAGACTCTAGCTTAATGTCCACTTACAAGAAGCTTCAAGAACCATACATTTATCTGTGATTTAAACCAATTGCTTAGGTAATGAGCTATTAATGTCTAACTACACTGAGCTGATACAAAGTTCTGAGAAAGGTATCCAGGGATGGGGATCAAAAAAGTCAAGATAGTAGCTGTGACTGAGCATTTGAAGCCCCACCCCATGTTTAATGTGCATGGCATGTGTGTACACATAAAAAAGAGGCAGGGGTTTGGTGGTGGCTGCCATCTTGACTTTCTTGACACTCCCTCAGGTATGCCCCTTAGTGTTGGGGTTAAGGAATTGTATTAGGACCTCAGAAATTCAGGGTGAAGTTCATTTTTCATAGTAATTCATTGGGTGATTTGGGCTACACTTTCTCTTTGAGACCAATTTATCCCAGAGTAGGTCTTGCTAGAAGAGGAAATGCTAACATATGCTGCCTTGAACTCCAAGAAGAAAGGTAGGGTATAAACCTAACAACCCACATTTTAGTCTAGTATGTTAATTCCATTCTTTTGGTTAGCTTATGGCTATCATGAAAATTGGACTAAGTAAATTGTTCTCAAGCCTATAGTTTTGAATACAGCCAATGTTATTATCTATGCCAACACTGAAATTTTTAAAATTCTGATATGTGAGGATTACACTGACATAGTCTTGTTAAGATACACATATCTATATTCTAGGAATAAGAGAGGACAGAAAAATACCAGATCCTTCTTGTAAGCAATTCACTATCTATAGGGCTGTAATGAAATAATCTAGACCTAAGGCAATTCAATTCTGCACCTAATTTCCCATGAAATGTAAGAAGTATTTGGAAACTCATATTTGAAGACTACATACACCCATATCTATGCTAAAATTTACAAAAAAATAATCTCTGTGGAAGTGCAGACGAATCTCTATGGAAGTGCAGACAAAAATAGACTTTAAAAAAGTTATAGGAGCGAAAACTTTTTATTTGTGTTACTCAGATAAAACCCTGCTTAACTGGTGAACAAAGTATACAGAGCTATCGATCAGCAGCACTTTGCCAGAGTTGTATATGCCAATTTTCTTTGCGGACATATTTCATGGATAGATGGTCTTAGTTTCAGGTTGCAGGCATAGAACCACACTTCAATAGTGCTGTAATGCTGCTCTCACTAAGCCTCCCTGAGCAAACTTGAGACCTGGCTTATCATCTCCCCAACAGGAAACCTAATTGATAGGTCAACATTTAGTGGGTCCTGAAAACCCTGATTTTTCAGGTCTACTTAAAATTCAAATCTATTTTAACCGAGGGGTACTGCTATTACCTCAATTGTAGAGTTTTATTCCAAATTTGAGAATGAGTATTTCAACAACAGTAAACAAAAACCATCAGCTTCCAAGGAAGCTTGTCACCTTATTGAGGGGAATAGAAATGAAGGCGTTAAGATAATTTATCATAGAAGGAATAGAGACCAAAAAGATTAGGTCCATCTGTAGTCCATTGTGTATCCATTACAGATAGACCTTGCTTCATTCAGCGTTGTCTCATTCAGCAACCAGTTACGATAGTGCTGAAAAAAGTCTACGACCAATGTTCGCATTTACGACCTTCGCAGCGTCCCTGTCACGTGATCGCCATTAGTCAGTACATGTTGTGCTGTGCCTTTTTTTTTTCTCTAACCTTGCAGAGTGGAAAGATTGGAAA